CTTGATTCCTTAGTTTACAATTTTATGATTTTGAATTTTGATAATTTGTAACTTATTTGAAATTAATAAATTTAATTTTATAATTTGTAACTCCAAGATAAGCACTTGCAAAAAATTATCCTGCAATTGAATTAATAAAATAATAAATATTGAAAATATAAAGTAAAAATTATAAAAAAATTATTAAATATAAAAATATAATAGTTAATAAAAGAATAATGGATATTATAGGATTAAATACTTGATTGTATAATTGTATGATATTATTATTCTTGAGTTAATGAAATTAATTACAAATTATTATTATAAATCCTGGAATTGAAATAATACTTAACCTTGATGAATGGAAATAATACTTAATCATGATAAAACTGGAAAACAATTAATGAATGGATGTTAATACTAAAAATAATGAACTTAAAAGATATTGGAGTAAATTGGATGAAAGGTCTGATTCCCTTTCTAAAATAATTGAATCAGTGATACCTTTTAAAACAACTGAACAACAGTCTTACCTCCAGGAAAGGATTATAAACTCCTTAAAAAAACCATTAAGTCACTTCACTGGTTTGTTCTCAAGGAAACCAGGAACTACTGGTGACAGCATATGGCCAAAGAAAGAAATAATCTCTGATTCTGATATGTGTCAGTTGCTGAAGTCTTTCTGAACCTCCCATAATGAATATATTCAAATCACAGAAGATATTATTCAGTCTATTGTTGAAAAAAATTTAGTAAGTAATTGAAATAGTTAATATTGTTAAAATAAAATTGAAAAACTAATGAAAAAATAAAAAATTATAAAAAAAAAATAATAATAGAAAAAAATTGTAAATAAAGAATTTAGTAATAACTTTGATGAGCCAGAAGAAATTCTGAAAGCCTTTGAAAGAAAATGCAAAAATCAAATGAATGATATTACAAGACTTCTGACTCTTGGAAAAATGTTAGCAAAATTATAGATAAATAATAAAAAAAAAGATAAAACTAACTATGACTCTTTAAAATAAAGGAAAATTTAAAAAAAAAATAATGATGATGATGGTGATGATGGTGATAATAGCAATAATAATAATGTTGATAATATTTAAGAAAATAATCATAATTCAGATGATGATTTACAAATAATTGAAAACTAATTGATTAGAGATTCAAATATTTCTTTGTAAATAAATGAAACCAAATAGATTTTATATTTTTATTAATATATTATATGAACATTAATGAATATTGTAATTTATTATTATTATAATAATAATAAATTGTTATATAAATATGCAAAGAATATAATAATTTTAAAAAAAATTTATAATATAAAAAAAGAAATTTTTCATATAGATAAACTTTGCAATACAAATTAAAAAAATAACAGCATTAACTGAACTGAAGACTGAGTTGAGGAAGTTCTCAGCCTTTATATACTGTACATTATAGATCTAACTATAAAGTCAACTTGTAATCTGACTGAAAACTACACTAGTATTGATATTAATATCTTATCTAGTACCTTAACTAGGATTGTTAATGGAGTGGAGTGAGTTGGGTTGGGTTCATATTATAGTGAAGTAAGAGTTAACCCAACCTAACCTAAATTAAATACTCCAGGTTTATATCCAGGTTATACTCCAAGTTACTCCAGGTTACTCTGGATTACTCCAGGTTACTTCAAGTTACTCCTGATTACCCCACAGTAAAGATACCTGCTATAATCAATGTATTACAGCAGAGTTGCAACTATTCTCTTAATTGCACAAATGGCATAATGCCATAATTTTGGCTGTAATGTTGTAATTATGTCACAATATAATTTATTTAAAATCAGAAATAATTGTTGATGGTTGCTACATATAAAAGTTTTTATTCTATAAGTATATATTATAAAACAGTATTAATGAATTTTATAGATGAGAATGTATTCTATTATCTATGAAAAATACAAATTTATTTCATCAAAATTGAGGAAATTATTTATGTTTAAAGTTTGAACAGATAAAAAAATTAAAATAACTATAATTTGCTCAATTTTGATGAAGTAGCCTTGCATTTTTCAAAAATAATAGAATACATTCTCTCTATAAATTTATTAGTACCACTTTCAATATTTACTTATAGAATAAAACGTTTTATATGTAGCAACTATCGACAATATAAACTATTTTCATTTTCTTGAGACATGATTATAATTAAAGTTTTATTTTCATTTCTACTAGAATTTAAACTAAGATTACTTTCCTCTCTATCTAAGTCTGTAGATGCAGATGCAACAACAAATTCTTCAGGTTCACTATCTGAAAGTGTATTATAAAAATCTTCAGATCTCTTATTTATGATAAAAAAATTTGTAAACAAAAATCAAATTGATTACCAGTCATTAAAATTTCAACCAATAAAATTATTGCTCCATGTGGAGTAACCTGGAGTAAATTATTTGGAGTAACCCAGAGCTATAATTAAATTATAACCTGGGTTACTATATAATTGAAATTCTTAACCCCTCTATAATGGAGTGGATTATAACCTGGAGCTGCTCTGGAGTATAATACTCCATTAACAACCCTCATATTGAAGTTATAGTAGATTATGCTGTAGACTACAATAATGCATACACTATTAATTATACTGATGTATACACTATTAACTACACTTTCTACTATGCTATCTATTACACTGTATATTACACTATTGAATACACTTTTGATTATGCTGTATACTATGCTGCTGATTATACAGTTGTAATACTTGATAGTTGTACCAATTTCAAAATGATTTGCATTAATAATTTCCTACTAATAAAATATGAAATTAAGCTAATAAAATATAAATAAACTAATAAATACATGATGTTAAAATAATAATATAATAAATAAGATAATAATAAATAAAATTTGACCATTAGGATCAACAACAGTATAGAAATTAATTTAATGAATTCATCAACAATATTGAATTGTCATGAAAGGGACTTCATGCTTAAGTGGGAAGGAATTGTTATCCTGCTTTCTTTCCTCTTTTTTTTTTATTTTATTCTTAATTATTTATTATTTATTATATTTTTATTATTCTATATATTATTATTTTCTATTTTTATGATTATTTATTTATTATTTATCTTATTATTTATTAGTCTTATAGTTATTAATAGATCAATTTCAAATATGAAATACGAATTATTATTTATTACTTAAAATATCTATTATCCTAAATTCTTGTAACAATATGTAAGTCTGTAATACTGACATAGATTTAAATATACTTTTGAACATATCTTTGAACATAAATACAGGATAAACTATAGACATAAATACAGATCATTATTTAGACATAGTTACAGATATAGAATTAGGTTAAAATTATAATGTATATAAAGGCTGGAAATTCTTCCAAGTCTTGAGAGTTCAGTAAGTTAGTTAGTCAGATAGTTCAGTTCATAGTTAGTTAGTTTAGTTCGTTAGTCAATAAAAGTTCGAGTTTTAGAATTATTCTTTTGCATTATAGTTCTAATTTGTTAAAGTGTTAATTGTTAATTGATACACTGCCTATTAACAAGTCCCATACCACCATTAATAGTTAAATCACCTCTTTCATAATTGACTGTACATAATTCCTTTACATAAACTCTTCATATTTTTATTAATTGTTATATTTGTGTGATTTATAAATTAGTAATTTAGTTTAATAGTTTAAGTTTTAGTTACTGTCATCCTTCTACAAAGTTAGAGGTTTAGAAGGGTAACAGCGCAATGATTTATCTGAACATCAAAGTGCTGAAACTATTTATTATATATTAGAGGAATGCCTTGGAAAATTAATTTTTAATGATACACCAGAAAATGCACTTATGTTTTTAAATGCAGATCAAGAAATGCAAAATATAGACTCTGAATCAGCAATTCATAAATCAAAATATGATATAAATAAATATTTATGTTTGAAACCTAAGTTCTACATAATATTTATATTATTTGAAACAAATAAAGTATTTAGGGAGTTTTATATATTAAATAAAAATTAATTAATTAACAGAACAAATATCATGGAGACTACTCATAAATATGTTCATTTAAAGTCAATCTCACTTGTCTTTGTTAATCATATTATTGATAAATCTAATGTGCGCTTGAAATTAATTGATCTATGTAATTGATTTTATTATTAACAGCTAATTATCTCAAAAAAATTGATTTTAAAATAAAATATATAATGCTTACAGGCTATAATTATATTTTCGTTTATCACGTTCATAAAAAAGTATGATGAATGTATCACATAAGTCATGACACTAACAACTTTTTATCCATCAAATAAAAAGTTTTTAAATCAATCACTATACAATGTCTTTCATTATTAAATTTTTAAAATTACCTCTATTTATGTTATGAGAAAAATAATTTAAGATAATTTATATACTTGAATACAAATACATAAAAACAAATTTAAAAATTTATTTTGACACAATTTCTTCAATACTTTTTCCTTTTGTCTATATTAATAAAAGAAAGAAATAATAAATTAAATGTTAAATTTGATTCATTATCACGTCATAAATAAATTATTATTGAATTAATTATCAGTTATGAAATCAGTATAAATTATTATTATTATATATATATATATACTTGCCTCAGAAAAATAAAACCAATTAAATATTAAAGATGTAAAAGTAATTCCAGCAAATACTAAAAATGTATAATCTTGCAAAGAATTTTTCATCACCGGAAATACCAATCCTACAAGAAAATTACAAAACCAATTTATTCCCAAACAAATTGAACTTCCTATACTCACCGAGTGAGTTGGTAAAACTTCTAATAAAATTAAATTAAAATTAAAATTAGAAAAAATAAAAATAAATTAAAATTAAAATTAAAAATAAAATAAAATAAAATAAAATAATTTAAATTAAAAAAAAAAATTATATTTTTTTTTAAAAACAAAGAAAATGAATGGATTACATAAATAATCTCCATCTATAATAAACGAATATAAATATTTTTTTTATTTTATTTACCCGATGTAATAAAGAATGGCAATGATCCAAGCGCTATTCCAAAAGTTCCAACGAACAATAAAACTATAAAAGATATAAATATATTACGTTTTTAATACTTTTTAATATCGTAATAATTAAATATCATAAATAAGGATTATAAATGTGAAGTTTACCAGCGAAAATAACCAATATATTATTTTTATAAATCGATCCGATAACGATTAAAGTAGAAGATATAGAAATTCCCAAAAGTGATGAAAGTAATAATGGTCGTCGTCCAATTTTATCAACCAATAATGTTGATAGAATAGTGAATATTAAAATATTTATTCCCACTGAAATTGTTGCATATTTCGCGGCATTTCCAAATGCGTCAGTAAATATTGCGGTACTATTTAATGGATTTGGATTGAATGAAATAAACAATAATAATTATTATTATTATTATTTTGATCGACTTTCAAGATTAAAAATTATTTGACTTACCTGTAAAGAACAATTCCTTGAATACCACTAAGTTGTTGAGTGGCGTGAATAACCATAAGAATTATCATCACCTTTCGGCAATAAGAATCTTTCAATAATTCAAAGACCGTAAATGATTTTCTCACTTCAAAAACCTTATTAATCTCAATCTCAATCTGGGGATTTGCTTTTTCAATTTCTAAATTTTCAATATTTTTTTCTTTTTCGAATTTTATTTGTGTTTGAACAATTTTTTTTTCTTCAGATTTGTTTTGTCCCTGAACAATTTCTTCAAATTCCAGATCAACATCATACCCTTTTCTTAACTTTTGTAAAATCTTTTTGGCTTCTTCGATTCGATTTTGAGAAATTAAATATCTCGGTGTCTCCACTCCAATAATAGACGCAAGTATTAATTGTAAAATGGCTGGTATCGTAGATATCACGAAAATGATTCTCCAACCTGGTACATACGAAAGTGGTAAACCGACTAATTGAATTAATACGATACCAGTTATGACCGAAAGTTGATAAATGGATCCAAGAGAGCCACGCAATTTAATGGTTGAAATCTCAACAATATATGTCTAATAAATAAATAAATATATAAATTCGATTATGTACATACATATATATATATATACACGATTTTTCATAACTTTATAAACTTACTGGAATCACAACTGATCCAACTCCACATCCAAATCCTGTAATAATACGTCCAAAGATAAACATGGTAGGATTAATCGAAGCACCTGAAAGAATGCCACCGATAACCCAAAATATTGTATTAAATGTCAGAGTTTTTTTTCTTCCAAATCTTGCTTGAAAATAACCAGCGGATATCCCTCCTATTAATCCACCAAGAGCGGCAGATCCCACAGCGAAACCCCTGTACACGCAGAATAAAATTTGATTTACATTTAGATTAAAAAGTCGTACGTATCGCGTTGTCGTTTTACGGTATATTATTTATTTATTTATTTTTTATTTTTACCATAATAAATCATTCATAGGAAGACAATCTACTATTTTGGATTCATTATTATTATTATATCCGTTTGTACAATTTCTTATGGTTTGTTCTATTTATTATTATTATTATTATTATTGATAAAATAGTAAATATATATGATAAAAAATTTATTTCATCACAAAATCGTTTCTTTACGTTGCGTTGTATAATCAAACTATTTATGTACCCGGAATATTTGTAATTCCAGAAGTTATTCCAACCTCCAATCCACCTATGGCAGCTATCAGTGCTAATATTAGACAATACGTTGGTAATTTTGCGATTTTTGAATCCTTTAAAATGACATTTGAATTATTTTCATTAAAATTATTATTTTCGTTCATTGATTGATTTATTAAAGACATTTTTCTTTTTTTTACAATGAAAAAGAATCAAAATAATTCAACCTTTATAAGATTAATCAAATTTAATATTAAAAAAAAAAGATCCTTTTAAACGTTTTCCTTCGATAATGAATTAGGTTTTAATCATGTCGATTAATCGATCAAAAAAAAAAAAACCAACCACTCAAGATTTAAAATAACAATCGAAGCGAATTCTTAAATTCTAAAGAATAAAAGAATTTTATTTGTATTACATATTTAACTTTTTTTTTATATTATCTAAGATTATTATAAAAAAAAGAATAATATTAACCAGACAATATTCTTTGATTTTTAACTTTTGACCCATGATCTCGTACATGTTACACATTTAACATTTGTACAAGGCAAAATGGCGTGATTGACTTAACTTGTTAGATTTTGATACGTAAGATAATGATATGATCAATTCAAATTTTAAACTTCGTCACAAATTTACAAGAAAGGAATTTTCTTTGTTTTTCAATTAATTAATTGATTTTCTTTATCTTCACGAGTATATATTAAGTTTTACTCATAGATTTTGAAGATATCATATTTTTTTTTTAAAAAAAAAAAAAAAATATTAAAATTAATTTATTCCAAATGAAGTAAAAAATAATAATAAAAATCGCCACCAGGGCACAGTAAGAAATATAATCATATGTCTAACTCTTTGATCGACGTATATTAGACACAAGACCTTATGTTCATATTTTATTATTATTAGAAAATATTATTTCATATTTTTTTCATTAATGCAAGCTATATATAGTGGTTTTACATATTTTTGGAATGAAACGATATAGAATATATAAAAATAAATAAATAAATAAAAAATATATAAATAAAATGTCACTTTTTTATTATTATTATTATTATGATTATTGCTATTATCATAAATATATCTAAAATAAAAAAATCGTGATCATAAATTTGATATATCAATGGGACGAACGACTATTGTATAATTTTATTTACAAATAAAAAAAAACCAGAGAAAAAAAAAAACTTTCCATTTTCCTTATTTTTATAACGACGTAAAATTATTCCATTTGGAGAGATAAAAGAAATGATAAAAACGAAAAATAAAATAGCGAATAACCAGAAGAAAATTGATGTGGGAAATTGAAACTATTGGTTGCGTTTTTTGGTGACATGACATGACGACGTAAATTAGAATTACTTTTAAATTAAAAAAAGTTTTTTTTTTTTGTATTAAATTAAAAAAGAAACATTATTATTATTATTATTATTATTATTCAAATATATATATATTTTTTTTGTTAAATTTTAAATTACCCAAAGAATATTTCATAAATCTAAAGAAAAAAAAACGAAGTAGCGTGAATAGATAAAAGGATATATTGAGAGAACAAGAAAAAGAGGGGGAGAAAAAAAAATATTTAAAGGAAACCCAAACCACAATTACCGTCCATTAATTTGAAATAAAATAAAATTTGCGAGAATAAGGAAAGTTAAATTACAAGGAAAATGATCCAAGGGCTTCTAATAAATCGGTATCATCATCAACATCATCATTATTATGATTATTATTATCATGATGATAATGATTATTGTTATTTTCATCTGTAAATAATATTTTATAGTCATTTATTCCATCAGCAACAGCAGCAAAAGATTGAAAGATAGAATCAAATTCTTCAGGAGATAAAATTTCTTCGTTCGAAGAAGAAGAGACATCAATTTCAAGAGGTGGAGGTGGAAGTAATTTTGACTTTGAAAATAATTGCTGTTGTTGCTGTGAATTATTAATTTGTGAATCATATAACCAGAATTCAATATCTTCTAGTTGTTGCAGTTGTTGCGGATGTTGCGGTTGTTGTTGTCGTTCATCTTGACTCATCAAATGTTGTAATGATTCCGATAATTCTTGAGAGTAATAATTACTATAATTAGTGTAATTACTATAAATCTTTCCTTCTGATAATATTGATCGTTCCGTCATTGAAGAAGAAGATGACGGAGAGACAATAGATGAAGAATTCGAAATTATATTTTTATTGGTGTTAATTGTTGTTGTCATTTTTTTTAAAAATTATCCCCTCTCTTTTCTTTTTTTCGAATGATTTTCTTTGGGATTTTTTATAATTACTTTTTTTTGGGTTGTTTTGGATATTAATTTCGAATATAATTTTTCATCGATTTTTTAAAAAAAATAAGGAAAAGGAATTTATGCTACGTCTTAACCAAACGTTCTAATAAAACATGAAAATTGAATAAATAATATTTCTTTCCTAATATTAATAAAAAAACCAATTATATATTGGATGAAGACTTCAAAATTGTGAAAAAAAAAGTGTCAAAACGCAACAAAGAAAAATATTGGTCATGTATGTTTGTCATTTTTATACCGTATTTGCAACAACACTTAAATCATGAAGTTTCTCACGCCAAATGATTCTCAAGTATTCAAACAAAGAAATAAAAAGATAATCAGTGGCTTCAAAATTAAAAAAAAGTTGACAAAAGTAGAAAATATTAAAAAATCATTAATTTGAAATTCATATAGATTGTTACCTAGAATATATTTTATTCGTTTAAAAAATATTTTTGGAAATCTTTTTTGAAAATGTCTAAAATTAGGAATTTCAGGGCCGCATACGATAAAGGCGAAGTTAAGCCAATGCCAAAGTCAAATTTAAATTAATTTTCCCGCCTCGAATCTTTAAATTAAAGTATTTCCACTCATAAGATTCGTACAAGGTAAATCATCCCCACACTCCCCATTTTAATAACCTAATTAATTTTTTTTATTTTAAAAAAAAACCTATTTTTAGAAATAAATTTTTTTCCGTTTGTTGTACGAAATTTGGCATATGCATTCATTATTTTCCAAATTTATAAATTCTTTATTAATCTTTAGAAGTTATTTTTTTTTTTTATTAAAAAAAATAATTTAAATTCGTGAAACATATTTTTATATAAATTCGAGTTTAGTCGAGAAAAAGTTATCATTTTATTATTAATTAATTAATTAATTAACATTTTCTTTCGGGAAAAAAGAAATTTTTTTTTTACTATTCGGGAAGAGCGCCGAAAAATTACTTCATAAATCAAATGCAAGTCATGCATATAGTCTAAAATTATTTATACATTTATGATTCTTTTCTATACAAAAAAAAAATATTGAATTCTAAAAAAAAAATCAAAAGAGCAACATAACATAACTTTTAAGGTCAACATTTTTAATTGCTTAAAATTGGATTTTTTATCGCACTGGCATTGAATAGTTTTATTGGTCAATCCATAAAAAAATTCAAGGGTTAGCTCGGTAAAAATTCATCACGCCAGTTGAATATGGATTTTTATTCTAACCATAAACCTCTAATCATCATGTCACCGTAACCTATTATCTGTCACCATAAACCGATTATATATTATAATATTTACATTAGAAGAAATGTAACAACATGATTCTTTTGACGGATATTATTTTTTTATTTTTTATAATATATTGCAAATTAATGTATTCAAAAAATTATTTATTTATTATTACATATATACAGGAAATTTTGCAAAATATAAAGAAAGAATTTTTTAAGAGTTAGAATCATTTAATAAACTGATAATTGTGTGAAAGTATGCGCAATTTACGAACTTTGTGTAATTACATATAGTACTTTTATTTATTTAATATTATAGTTAGAATTCAATTAAATCTTATGGGGCATATTTAAATGTATTTAGTAAACAACAAAAAAATATTATTTTCGCTGAAAAATTTATTGTGTATTTATGACTTTTTTTTTTTCCTTTATTGATGATAGTAAAAAATATTGTTTATTTTTTTTTTTGGAAAAATATTAATAAATAACTTTAATTAAAATAGTTTTCTAAAATTAAATATATACCACGTATAATACCGATTTTCAATTGATTGTCCTTGTTAATTTCCGTTCCGTATCGATATCGATTATAAAAGTTAAAAGGAACAGTTAACCTAAACACAATTTAAAACTGTATAAACACAAATCATAATTACAAATATATTATATTTATTTTGATAATTAAATACTGATCTGCTTTAATAATTCCAGTGATCGAAAAAAATAATAAAATATAAAAATAATATATAAATAAACAAAATAATGAATAATAAATAAAATATAAGGATTTTCATCTTGCTGAATTAGTGCAACTGGCACGAATCTAACCAAAATCACGGGAGATGATATGAGATGAGATGTGTCAATATTTGGATGAATTATCCTTGTATTTCATCCTTCATCCAAGATAACTGTTTATTCATCCCCCGTGATTATGTATGATGAAGGATGAAGGTAAAATAAAGGGTAAGATATAAAATAGCTGCAGATAAGGAAGAAAAACGAGAGATTCCTTTTAGGCCTTAATAATATAGGACATTTTTTCGTTATTACTTTTATTTCTTTTATATTTTTGTAATAATTTCGATAATAATAAATAATTTAGTGTAGCGAATAACAAAAGTGATAGATACGCCAAAGAAGTAATATATTTCTTTTGTCATATTCCGAAATAATCTTCAATAAAATTTATAACCTATTTTTATATTTTCTTGGCAAGTTACATCAAAAAGTCTGCACTAGTTTTGGTAGTGTGTAAGTGGTAATAAAGATACTTTTACTCCACTTGCTCATCGTACCTTCAGATATTACACATAGCTATATAAATCGTGATTGTTAGTAAGCAGATTGATTGCCTGATGTTACTACGTGAGAGTATTGACAGAGATATTTTTGTTGTATAATAAATTTGAGACTGATTGATGTAATTTTCCCTATCGTTCTGCACAGACCGTGACAATATATAGTATTCCATAAATTTAACAATTAATTTTTTTAAGGAGAGAAAAAAATATATAAAATTAACATTCAATATTACATTAAAATAAATAAGATTATTTCTAAGAAATTTGGCTAAAAAGTTGTTTTTTAATTATAATTCTTTATTAAAGGAGTCGTTAAAAAAAAATAATTACTGTAATTAAGTATCTGATTTTATCCAAATAAATATGTAATAATTTTTTAACTCACCTTATATTTAATTTATATTTATTAAAATGATAACATTGCATTGATAAGCTTCATGCGATATTTACGATTTATATTAAAAAATAATAAAGTGAATTGATTTTGCGTATATTGTGTTGTAAATTAACACCAATTTCTTTTGTGATCACCAGAATTCAAAAAATAAGTTACATTTTGGAGTGTCGTGTAATCCATTTATTTTCCTTGTTTTTTTTAGTTTAAAAGAAACGAAGAAATAGGAGAAATAGGAGAATTGAGGAAATAAAAGAAAAAAAAAAAATATTAACATTATCAAATTTACTTTATAAAATTACAATTTTTGAGATAATTTTTTTGTTATTAATCAATTATATGCATGCATTAAATTCTAGGGATTGAGTATTTAGATTGATAATTATTAAAATCAAAGTTTCAAGACATTTTCAACAAATAACATTTCTCTAATTAATTATCAATCGACGTATTCACATTATATTACAGTCATTGAGTATTTAGATTCAAATCATTAAAATCAATGTTTCAAGCTAACGACATTTCTTAAACTAATTAAAACCTATTGCATCACATTATTTTACAGCATGTAGGTATTTAGATCATAATCCAACATAAAATTAATACATAATTAAATATTAAATTAATCCGTAATTCAATATCTAATCAATTTAATGTCAAATAACATTTCTTTTATGAATTATATATATCAATATAGTATGTAACTTACATACTGTAAGTATTTAGATTTATAATTATTGAAATTAAGTTTTAAGTTAATCCACATTAAATGATATTTTTAAATTATTAATTATTAATAAATTGCATGTGCATTATATCACAGGAAGTGAGTATTTATGTATATTCATAATTATTAAATCAATGTTTAAATTTAATTCAATATCATACAATAATTCTCTAATCAATTATTAATTAATTGTATTCATATTATATTACAGTTAGTGAGTATTCAGATTTATAATAAATTCATATCAAAGCTTCAATTACAAATTATAATTCGGTAATTAATTATGCAATTATTACAGTTCGTAAGTATTTAGATTATAATAAATTGATATCAAAGCTTCAATTTAATTCAATTTCAAATTATAATTCGGTAATTAATTTTGCAATTATTACAGTGAGTAAGTATTTAGATTTATAATCCACAAAATCAAAGTTTTAAATTTAATTCAATCAAATAATATTCTCCAATTAATTATAAATAAATTAAATTTTAAATTATATTCAATATCAAATAATAATTAAAATTAATCACATAAATATTATATTATAGGCCGTGAGTATTTAGATTCATTATTAATAAATCTCAATGTTTCAATATCAAAAACAACTCTAATCAATTATCAATTAATTATAAATTAATTACATAAATATTATATTACAGTCCGTGAGTATTTAGATTCATAATTATTGAAATCAAAGTTTAAATTTAATTCAATCTTAAATAACGATTCTCTAATCAATTACGTAAAAATTATATTAAAGTTTGTGAGTATTAAGATTCATAATTATTGAAATCAAGTTTAAATGTATTTCGATTTCAAATAACGATTTTCTAATCAATTATCAATTAAATAATTAGAGAGAGAGAGAGAGAAATAGGTGTGTGTGCGTGTGTGTGTGAATATTATATTACAGATCGTGAGTATTTAGATTCATAATTACTCATAGTTATTTTCAATTTAGCTTAATATTAAATAATTAATATCAATTCAATCAATATATCACATCATATTACAGCTTGTGAGTTTATAATCTATTGAAATTAAAATAAAGTTTCAATTTAATCCATCGAAATAATTTTCAATTTAACTAAATATCAAATAATAATTCTCTAATCAATCGACAATTAATCGCATAAATATTATATTACAGGAAGATTCACAATTACTTTCAATTTAATTCAATATCATACAATAATTCTCAAATTAATTATAAATGTATACACATTATATTACAGTTTGTGAGTACCTAGACCCTCAATCCACTCGAATCA